AAAAAAGCAATTCTGACCTCGTAATCTTAGAACAACTTTTTCTTCTTCTTTTTCTTCTTCTTCTTCTTCTATTCTTCTTCTTCTGCTGCTGCTGCTGCTTCTTTCTTCTTTTTTGTTCTCGATCCTGTCATCTTCCTTGTCTGATATCTATTTCGTTTGCATTGGTAAAGTGCGCGCGCTTCACTACTCTGTGTTGCGCACTTGCGTACTCACTTTTTTACCCTCGCTCACTCTCTTGCATGTCTGGAAGACTGTGCTCGCATGGGTGTATCTTTCTCCTCTATGCTCACACTGAGACTGTTTTCCCAACCAGCAGTTCTTCACAATTCACTTCAGATGCTTTCTCGTTTAGGGGGCGGCTTCTTCTCTTTACCCCTGGCTCGCTGGCTTTCTTGCATCCGTCATTGAGTGTGCTACTAGTATGGCTGTATCTATCTCTCCTTTATGCTCATGCTGAGACTGTTTGCTAAACAGTACTTCACTTTTCCTTTCTGTTTATTCTCTCTCTCTCTCTCTCTCTCTCTCTCTCTCTCTCTCTCTCTCTCTCTCACACACACACACACACACACACACACACACACACACATTCTTTCTTTTGCATGCGGCATTGAGTTTGCAGGGTTGCACAGTTTGCCAAAAGGATTATGAGTGAAGGTCTGCTGGCAGCATGATGCTGTTTCCCCCCTCTTCATACCTCTATATCTGATTTCATCCTCAAAAAGCCCCAATGGAATCTGAACCTGGTGCGGGCGTCCGTTGCACTGTACTTGGCTCAGATTACGGCTTGATGGGGGGGGGGGGGGAAGACAGAACGACATATGAAAACAACGAATGTATGCATCGCAGTTTTCGATTCTGATACGTTCGTTGGCTCGCGGCTCGCCGGTGTGGGGAGACCCACACACACACGCACTTCACACAGGACTGCGGTAGTACGCACATATGTCCTGAATACTGAACTCCTTCTCTTCTTGTGAGCACACCTCCTCCCTTCTCTCAGTTCTCTGTTCGTTCGTGTTCCTCTGTCCTCGATTCCTGAACTCTCAATGCTCACTCACCTCCTTCATACGTCTTCCTCATAATATCCTTCCTGCAACAAACCTTTCTTCTCTTTTTTCGCCTTTGCTAGCTCTTCTATTCGGCTGTATCTGGCCATGATCGCGGCCAGGTACAAATCGTTAACATATACGACAATAAATCAATTGAACTAAGTAATCTTAGTTGTAACAGCACAGGCGATATTAGGCACACCACATACGAACACGCAATATCCCTACCCCCAGATGATCAGAATAGAATATAAAATATAAAATGTCCGTTTTGACGAAATCGCTGTTATAGGGAACCACTGATTTACAAATCTTAATTATAAAAGAGTTTCATGAACAACGTCAAATATTGCTATGGATTGTTTTTTTTGCATATTTTGCAGTGAAAACTGCCCAAGGCGCTTGCAGAGTGCGCAACCCAAGAAAACTTTTTTTTTTTTTTTTTTTTTTTAAATAAACGCCCCAGCCAGTGTTAGTGCTGTTGATAAGAGCAGACACCACTAACACCTAGGGAGAGAGTCCATCTATTAGTGGGGAGCATAAATTCCTACAACAAAAATATAAGTCAAAATTACTCAGTGCATTCCAATCGGCATAAGCGTCTAGATAATCCGGAATGCGGGGGTGGCATGCCCGCAACACCTAAGACAAGGGCGCCTTCGGCACCAGCGAATATGCAATCACAAGATCGGCATCCCTCGATAATGATAATGAGAAGGTCAACAAAGCCACCGTAATAGAGAAACTGAAGAGCAGAAGTCGCGAATCGATGGCAGAGCCCGCCCCTCTCCACTACTGGATTTCTGGAAGTGTCGATGGAAGTTTGAAACTCTACATCGTTTTGCCGTGGTTATAAAATCTCCTTTCAAAAGTTCTTGTTCTCGCGGTGTTTGGATGCCTACAACATCAATTTTGGCCTTCTTTCGTACCTTCTGCTTTTACCACGCAGTATTCGAGTACCGAGGAAGAAAAATCCGGAATCAATATGTGATATCTTAATTTCTTTGCTTAGGTCTAGTCCGAGCGTATTTAGAAAGGTCTATATACGATCACGTATCTCAATTGCGTCAAGAAGAGGGCCGGTAATGCCTATCACAAAGTCATCTGCGTATCGCATATACTACGTGACACCCTAGGCTGCGGATCCTGCGGCCCAATCCGCGGCCAACCTCCTAGGCCGCAGGCCCGCGACCGAGTCTGAGCCACACCCAGGCGGGGGCGCGCGCTCAAAATCGGCGCGCGCGCTTGGCCTGCGCACGTCGGCCAATATCCGCCTGTACAAAAAAAAAAAAAAAAAAAAAAAAATTTGGGGGGGCGATTTTTGATGTGTGAAAAAAAATTAAAAAAAATAGAAAAAAAAATAATTGATTGATTGATTGATTGATTGATGAAAAAAAAATAACAAAAAATAGAAAAAAATATATATACCTATTGATTGATTGTTTTTTTATTTTGACTGATTGATTGTTGATTGTTTGATTGATTGATTGATTGATTGATTGATTGATTGATTGGTGGGGGATGGGTCCTCCCTCCCCTCCACCCGGCACACACACACACACACACACACACACACACACACACACACACACACACACACACAATCGATCAATCAATGAATCAATCAAATCAATCAATCAAT